CTTCACATTCAACAAATGGTTCTAATTTCTATGTGTCAGGGGTCATAGTCAGCATTGGACATGCTCTAGTGGAGCAGGGCTCAGTACAATCTCTGGCATAGAGATCCTCGAGAAATAGATTTTGAGTAAGAAGGGTTCCACCTGACCATAAGATAACACCATCTGCTGAGGGGAGACTATTTAGGAAAGAAAATAATCTCTGTACTTCTTAAAGACCATACTGAATGAGAAGGAAGGGGTGGGAACTACTGGAGGAGCCAGGGCAAGACAGGAGCGCAGCAAGGTACTGGATGGTTACTGAGAAAAAGATAAGCAAGGCCCACTGTGGAGGAGCCCTCCAGAGACCAGGTCACAGAGTAGCACGGCATGAGCTCTTCAACAGGAAAGAGGATAGCACTCATGCCTGCTGATCCCCTCCAAGGTCAAGAGCTATGTCTGCCCCTTGTGGATCTGACTTCAGTGAGGTCATCAGCAGGATGATAACACAAGTTTGGTTCCAAGTTTGCTAGATATACAGGCTCTAGAGTTACTGAATTTCCAAATGTTCCTTATTCTTTCAAAATGGCAGAAACTACCCATTTGGTAGGTAGGGGATAAATAAGATGCTAGTACAGTATACTGCTTGGCACTTGACAGGTGATCAAAAGGGAAGGTGGAACTTAGAACTGATTCTAACAATAATGTGCCACAGCAACCAGCCAACGACCTTGGCTGAACAGTCCTGAATTCTGGCTCTTCAGGTCACACAGCCTCCATATCTGCTGAAGTGGCAGGGCCAGCCTTCCCATCCTGTGGGTCCTAACAGTGTGGCAAAGTCAAATGCAGAGGAGTTTTTGATCATGCACTGAAGGGTATTATCTGCTATTCAGAGTTCACAGAGTTGGTTACATTAGGGTTTTCCAAGTTCAGTAAAAATTGTGCAATGCTGGTAGCTACAGGATAACATGAAGGTTAAAGGATATAATACTAAGAAGCTGAAAGTAAAAGTATGCCTTATTCAAAAGACACTGATAGGTATCAATTAAGCTAGGCTCCCTGAGACCAAATGCTGCCCATGACAGGCAGAGACCATGTAGTCCCCTAAAGGAACCGTATAGATATTACAGACAGGCCAGTTCTTATGAAAAAAGACAGTGTCAGGTAAAAATACCCTTTCAGAAATGAACAGGCTAATAGCTGGAGAATATAGGACAATAAGTAATAAAGTAGGATGCACTCTACAGCATAGGGGCCATCACTGCCCCACTTTAGGATGAGAACAGAGCAGCAAAGAGAAGAAACCTGTGGCTGAGGCGGCACGGCTTGGGGACCAAGCAATGGATAGGCATGTCTGAACACCTATTTGGCCTCCAACCATTTGGGCTCCAGCCCCTCAAAGGACACCAGACCACAGGTTTTTGGTGATGCAGTGAGGACAATACATGAAGTAGCTAAACACAGGAGGCACATAAGAAGAAATTCTTCCAAGTGGTCATGCTATTAAAAATTTATCAACAGGGTTGATGAAGAGAAAGAAGTTTCCTAAAGAAAGAAACACTGACATATCAGCTCATTGAATCAGGCCCAAGTCCACATGGTGTAGCTCTACCCTAGATCATTGAATTCCAGCTGTAAACACCACCCAAGTCCCTATTGCCAACCACCCCTAAGGTGGATAGATGCCCTAGGTCACCCTCTTGATGTAAAACCTGTCCCTGGAGTGGTGAGGACCTCATGACCTGTAATGGTTGATACACAGTGCCAATTTGAGAAGTTTAGAAGTTTAAGCAACTCAGCAGGGGGCCAGGGTGCTCACTTTGTAAACATCCCCATCCTGTGCAAGAGGAGGGCAGGGAGATGGTGTAAGTGCTACACCTACCCTACGGGGTGGTAGCCTGCTTACAATGTAAAGGAAGAAAAGAGGCTTGTTCTCCCCTACTTTTGCTCTTGCTGATTTTGCTGTCTTCTGCCACCTTGAACTATTGCCCCTCACCAAGCCACCCTGCCTTAGAGTGAGCTGATTACAGACTGACAAACTGAGCTAAATAAACCTTTCCTTCCTTAATTCTGAGTGTCAGGATTTGTCTCAGCAACCAGAGTAAAGTAACTAACACATGGCCTCTCTAGGCAGCGTGAAAAATGCAACTGTACAGACCACCAAGCATAGCAAGGAGGCTGAGGAGCACCTGGCCAGCTCCTAGGGCTGCCATCCCCAGGGTTTCCATCCCAGTACCCTATGACAAATCCCACCTACCCCTTCCCCAGAGTAGCTGGGAGGCTGGAGGAGAGTGGAAGATGGACAGCACCAGCTAGGCTATGCTTAGGGACACAGCAGATCTAAGAAGAAAGACCTTCTCAGACAAGTGTACATGCAGCTAATGTGAAATTGCCAACCTCCTTTGAAAAATGTCTACCCGGCCTTATGTGCTACATATGGGCAACTTCTGGAACTATGGATGGGTGTCAAATTAGACTCAAATTTTTTTATAGAGTCTAAATATTTAGAAAATATTAAAATGCATAATGAAATTATTAGCAAATTCAGTCTTTGGTCTTTCCATCTGCTTAAATTCAGGTTTACAATAGCAAAAGTCTGCTATTCATACCATGCCAGATGTCATTACCAGATGAGAGAGAGACAGAGACAGAGACAGAGACAGAGACATGGACAAAGAGAGGAGCCCTTAATATTATTTCTCTTTAAATATATTTGCCTACAAGGACAATCTCTCATGAACTTCCAATCAGTATATTTATGAGACAGATGTGTACAGCACATGGTAGGCACTGAATAAATATTTGTTGGGCAAATTATTAAGCAAATACAGACAAAAGGGCAACAGTCTCTTAAAGGAGTGAAAGGTTAAGGAAGAAAAATATGAAGACGTTTCTTTTACTTTTTTGATACTAGTGTTCAAAGACCCTGAGAGTTCTAGTGGCCGATATCCCCAGGGTGGCAGTGCACATTCGGCAATAGCCACAGACCCAAGGAAGGCTACTCTTCTGCTGTGAACTGGAGTCAGGTCTTGTCATCTTCAAGACAGGATGATGAATCTGCCAGAGAGCTGACTGGAAGAGAAATGGCAACACAGATAGCACCCAGGAAGTGACACTACCTGGGTACTACCCTGTGCCCAGCACAGGAGGCTGAGGGGGCAGTTGATATCTAAGGAACATGGGCACACAGGGGTGTGGTTCCAGCCATTCCTGGGCTTCCAGCTTCTATGAGCCCTGATTGAAAACATGTGAGAACATCCCTCCCTACAGTGCCCCTTCTCCATCAGGAGATAGTGCATTGATCTCAGACTGAGTCAAACTACCCTGGTCTGCTCTGACCTGCATAGAGCTGCCACATTAAGCTGAAGCTCCTGGGTCAGCAGCTTTCATAGCAGGTTGTTACAGGCTCTCTGAAAGACCAGGTCACTCCAGGTTCCAGCAGCACAGTGAGACAGCAGGAGGACAGAGTCAGCCTTAGTTGCACAGCTGACAGTGTGACTTGTGTGCCTAGCCCTCATTCTGGACAGTTGGGACCTGGTCTGAGTACTGTGCCAGCGAACTCACCCGGATGGGTCCCCGTATCTGTCTCTGAAAGGTGCCTAGAGGTGAGAGGGTTCCCCTCCATAAAATGTGTTATTCCCGTGGGAGTACAGTGACAGTCCGAGAGACAGGGAAGAAATGAGGCAGATGAATTGATCCCCGGCACATGGTCAAGAATGGACACCTGCCTTGCTGCCTCGCTAGCCATTCTGTTCTGCACCCCTCAAGAATGGAGCCAACACTGGCTCTGTGTCAAGCCAGCAGGAACACAAGAGAAGGATGAGTTTAACCCGCACCCTTTCAAAGACAAACTCCAATTGGTGCTCTGCTCATTCTGTGAGTCCCCATGCTCTCTTCCTTTAGTACCCAGTTCACAGGACCTTCTATCTCCATATAAAGTGTCCATTTTGTCATAAACTCCTTGTAGACCATCTACCAGACCCAGATTCACTTTAGCTTGAATGAAAGAACTCACCTCAGGTCCCAGAACCTGTCATGGATATTTCTAGATTGTTCTGAGTCTATAACCTCAATTTGACCATTCCCCAAGCCAGAGTCTGTGCTTGACAAGGATAACTGACAGACACATCAGAGCTATCTCTTCCTGGTGACATTCTCTGATCAAGCCATATTCACATGCCTCTTACCTTGGAGGCATTTCCCACCATGTCTCTTTGATACACTTCTGTACATCAGTAAGCATCTACTCAAATGTCATCTCTTCTCAATGCCTTCCTCAATTGCTTCCACCCAGCTGTTGCTTCCTCTGAACTTCCAGCACTGGGCTCAATGTTGTTCTTGCTCCCCTTATACTTCCTGACTGACTAGACAGTGCACAGACACCTTGTCTTGCCCATCAGTCTGTTCAGTGGTTCCCAAATGATGGACTACTTCTGTGGGTGCTCTGTCAATATCAACAAGTGAAATGGGGCCTGGCTCTCCAGAGCATCACTCACTCAGCTGAGCACCTTCTCTGTGCCAGATATGGGTCAGGTTCAGAGCAGGGTCAGTGATGTTATAAAACACTCTTTCCTGGCCTGGTCTTTATGCAAACCCCTTGGTCTTTCAAGATGGCACCTTCATGCTTGGCTACGCTGTGCAACCAGATTTCAGTCTCCCCAACTATTCCATCTCTGTTTTAGCTGTCAGTCTGTGAACCTACTCATCCCTAGCACTGATAGGTACCTCTTAGGACCTGTCACTAACATAAGTATCAGCACTGGCAAGAAATATGTGATCCAAAGTCATGAACACTACTGGCCCAAGAAGACCTTTCCCTACACAGAATTAATACTTCAGTAAGTAGTTCCTCTAAAGTATAACGTGGTTAGGAAAATACCAACCCTTGCCACATGTCTCTTTACTATGGCATTTCACAGCTACCTGTGGTTAAAATTCAGTAGCCAAACCCCTCTAGGCTGCTTCCCAGTGGTCAGAAGCCCTGGCAAAGATGGTGTTCAATGTGAGCACCATGAAAAGGATATGATTCTCCAGTGGATGTCCAGTTTGCTATTGATCTCCAATCCTCGAGCTTCCAGCCTCTCCTCTTCCAGCTGCTTTGGACTTGCAAATTGTCCCTTCTCTCCAGGGGATTCTGGAACACTCTCAAAGTTGAACTTGTCCACTTGGATAGCCATTCTAAAAGAAAGAAAACAGCAGAGAATTCATCACTGGGGCCATTATCTGCGGCTGGCTCTTGGAGAAGCAGCACATGCCAGCATAAGATGGTATAATGAATCATTATTGTTAGTAATTCATCACAGATTCAGTCCAAGAAAATGGAACAAGAGGCTCCCATGGTGGTCAGGCCTGCAAAGCTAGCTCAGTACATGGTTTGTAACTGGAGACATAGTCACAATTTGGACCTCTAAGAAGATCCATGTCACCCTACAGCAGAATTTCAATTCTCTACCAGGGTAAGGCAGACAGGACCCAGCATGCTGTGTACATAGAGGGCAGAGTCACGATTTATATTCTTTCCTGGACAATCACAGAGAACATTGATAATTACCCAAATCCCCCAAGTTTCAAAAGCCTATTGGAAAAACTCCCTCCATGCTTGAGCTCTGCCTGACCCCTCTGCACACCTCCTAATCCAACCAGATGAACTTGCCAGCCACCACATGTCCACAGATGCCACAGCACCCCCTTCCCACTGCAGCTTCTTGGCCCTCGGATCCCACAGGTTCTCCCTTCAGGTCTCTGCTCAAATCCACATCCCATCCAGCCCCCTCACTGCTTGTCTGACCCACTGGCCATCCGGAAGATTTCTAGAACACATCAGGGTCTCTCTGCCTCAGTTCTTAAACTCATGGCTGGACCCTGAAATGTTCCTCTCCCAAGTTTTGGCCCAGTTGGATCCTCCTCACCCTGCAGGTTGGAGCTTGAGAGCCCTCCCTAGACTATCCCAGCTATAGCAGCATCCTCACTCATCCTCTCACCTCATTCCCTACTGGAGCATTCCATTATTTCTGGCAGAACATTGATTATGGACTTAGATTTATCTCTGGATTTGTTAACTATTTGTTCTACAGGAATTTAGCTCCCCAAGGGCAGAGATCCTCTTGCTGTTGTTTACCAGTTCCCAAGGCCTAGAATAAGGCCTGGCACACTCCGTGATTCAGTATATAATTAGCTGAATAAACGAAGGACTGAATTAAAAGTCTTCCTTACACCAAGCCAATGTTTCTTTCTTCCTGCTTGCTGTTCACAGGGCCTTAAACCCAATACCTATGTCTGGGTCCAGCCTCACGTCCCAACCTAAGACCTTTCCTGGGAGAGGAGGCAGCTGCATTTATTTTGGATGCTCTAGTGACCTGTGGCCTATCCTCACCTGAGACCATCATAATTATGAAGGCAGGGGCTAGCTTACTGATGTCTGAACCCCCCCACCTCTTAGCACACAGCAGGCACTCAAGAAAAGTGCAATACATGGATGGAGATGGGGGTGCAGGAGGAAAAGGGTATTTTTCCTATGAAGCCCCTAAACTCTGGCTCCAACTGAGAAATGACTGAGAATCATAGTGTATTCATAGTGAACATAGTATATTCCTGCTACACTGTACTACAGTCAAAATCTTTAACAAGACTGTGCTTTGATTACCTTTGTGGCTGTTCAGAGAAGAACTGCTGCCTAGAGCGAATGGGTATGAGATCACACCCAAAGATGTGGTTTAGGGAGCCATGCCGGAGGGGCAAGAGTCACCGCAGCATCAATAAATCAATAGGGCTTGGCCCAGAATACAGCATGGAGGCCTGGCTGTCCCAAGGCAGAGGCCCTGCTCTGAGTATGTGGGCAGCACTTTTGTAGCAAGAAAAGTTCTTAAAATTACATTTACTGTTTTTTTCTGATTAAGTAAAAAGCTTATCATAAAAAATTGGAAAATACAGGAAAGCATAAAAAGAAGAAAATAAAGACTCAATCTAATACTCTTCTGCTAATATATTAATTTCACAGTATGTGAAATACTTGTGTTTTAAGATGGTTGAAAGCATAATATCCATGTGTAGAAGTCACTGTGTAGGTACTGTTATACACATACATGTACATACAGGCACAATTTAAAGTCTTGTTTTATCTTCTCAATATATACAGTACTATGAAGTTTCTCATGTCATTAAAAATCAGTCTACCAAAAACTTGATACCATAACTTTATTTAACAATTTCCCTAGTTTTTTGAGCTCTCAGATCATTTTCACTTTCAAAAGGTATTATTGTAAGAAGGCTTTGACGAACATTTCTTGCTCAGGGTTTCTGTCTGCCCCACTGAGTGGCTCACAGGATCTCTTCTTGCAAGTAAGACTGGGGTCTGCAAGTATAGAAGGTTTCCAGTACCAGGTCCCTGCTCAGAGCTTCAGAGCGATCCCTTCCAGGAACAGTGCAGACGGGCACCCAGACCTCTCCCTCCATCCCTGCCAATCAAGGAAGGTCATTTTTTAAGCTTTGCTAGTAACAGGCAAAACGCTAACTCACTGAGGTTTTAAGGTGCAGGTCTAAATCATCCTTGAGATTGAACACTTTTTTCAGAAGCCTACTAACCATGTATGTGTCATTCTACCCCCATAAGTCACCTACATGTATATCAAGACAACTTCTATGTTTTGACCCAGCAAATAGCTACCCTTGTTTCCCTACCTCAAAATTAGACTGAAGCAAACTAGTACTATTTTCAACAAAAGATCAGAATATTTCCTAAGTTTTGCTAAAGACTAATTTAAATTCACTGCCTGAAAACCCAGAGAAATTCATAACATTCACCTTTCAATGTTATTATTATTTTTTTTTTTTTGGTACCAGGAATCAAACTCATGACCTCATGTTTTCCAGGCAGGCTCTGTGCTGCTGAGCTAAATCCCCAGCCCCAAAGCAAAATATCTTTGATAGAAGCAAAATGTCTTTTTTTGGGTTTTTTTTTTCTGGTACTGGGAATCGAACTCATGACCTCATGTTTTCCAGGCAGGCACTATGCCGCTGAGCTATATCCCCAGCCCCATTCACCTTTCAATGAATTCGCAAACATCTCCATGTTTAACCCTCTTCTAGTAACAGGATAGACTCCAAGCATAATTTCCTAGTAGGGAGTATCCAAAAAGTAATTCCAGAACAGGGCTAATGCTTCTTAAAAGTCACAGTAAAGTCTTTGGATATCATTAGCTTCTGAATTCATATAAAAAGGCATGGATAGCAATTCACCTGCTTCCTTGAGTGAAGGTATAGAAGGCATGGTCTTTCAAGTGGCTCCTCAGAGGTGGCAGGGACAACTTTTGCCTTGGAAGCCACTTATCATAATAGTTCTTTGGTTTTCATTGTTACTATGGTTTGTTACTGTTCTTAATAGAGCAGAGACATCCTACCCGGGGTTAGGGAGGACCACTTGCTGTTTATGCTGGCCTGGGACAATAATCCTTTTCTGGCTCCCTATTCAATACTTCCTCAGGGATGGGAGGACTTCTACAAGGACATCAGAATGCAAGCATCTTCCCTGTGGCCAAAAAGAGGGGACAGGAGGTCATCGCTGGTGCAGCCATTTGCCAAATCAGGGAGCAATACCCAGGGGCACGCTGGGAGCCTGGGGAAGCAGGGGCACTCTGTCACTTGGAGCCCTTCCATATGCTCCTTGAATTCCCTGAGTACCACTTCTAGTGTAAATCCAGAAGACTGCTCACTGGCAAAAAGTCACACTAAGTAGGGGGGTTTACGTATGCAGACACACTCGGCAACTTCAGGGTGGTGCCTTCAGATTAGTTAAAGGGACTAGACTTAAATTGAAGACAGAGGGAAAAAGCAGGCCCTGCACATATCTTTGGTAGATCTTATCACACACAAGATCAAATTTCAGCTCTTTCACAGCCTACAGAATGGGAAAAAAATTTACCAGCTCTTTCTTGGACAGAGGATTATATCTAGAATATATAAAGAACTCAAAAAATTAGATCCCCAAAACAAAAGATCTAACCAAAAGAACAATAGGCCATGGAAATGAATAGACACTTCTCAGAAGAAGCATAAATACATGGAAAAATACATGGAATACATGGAAAAATGTTCACCATTTCTGGCATTTAGAGAAATGCAAATCAAAACAGCACTAAGATTCTACTTTCCACCAGAAAGAATGGCTCCCACCAAAAAATCAAATAATAACAAATGGTGGTGAGGTTGCAGGGAAAAAGGAACCCTTCTACACTGTTGGTGAAAATGTTAACTAGTACAACAATTATGGATATCAGTATGTATATTCCTGAGAAAACATAAAAAAATAGAAATTCCATTAACCAAGCTACTTACCTTCTAAGTATCTTCTCCAAAGAGTTAAAGACATCGTATTACAGTAATGCATGCACACCCATGTGTAAAACTGCTTAAATCATAATATCTAAATCTTGGAAGTGACCTATATGTCCATTAACATGGACAAGGAAATGGACAAGGAATGGACAAGGAAAATATGATATTTCTACACAATGGGGTACTGCTCTGTCATAAAGTTTGACAAACTTGAGTCAGTTGTACAAAAATACATGGACCTTAAAACCACAATGGTAAGTGAAATCACACACATAAGCTTACAGGTCCACATATATCTCATAGTTCCTCTCATATGAGAAACACAAAGTATAAATAAAGAGCAAAATAAAAGATAGGTAATAGGATGAGGAGAAAGATTTTTTTGTTAATGGAAGGGAACCAAGAGATAGAGGGACGAAAGAAGGGAGGGGAAGAGGATAAAAAAGAATTGAGATGCGTTATGTGCATATACCAACTCCCCACAAGGCATATAACCATTATGTATTACAAACATATACTAATAAAAAATAAAACTGAAAAACAAATTTTAGCTCTTCCATGGGGCTTACCCAACCACATAACCCTCCTAATATCCTCCTGGGACAGTCACTTCCCCTCACAACATTAATGTTCCTCACAGTCTGCAAACATGTTATAGCTTGTGTCTAGATGTCCCCCCTAAAGGCTTGTAGAGCCTTAGGCTTTTTCAGAGGTGGCCAAATCTAGAGTTTGTGATGATTCAAGGTCCATTGTGGGGATTAAAGGTGTGAGTGGTACATCAGCCCTAGCGCAGGTGACCTATATACAATATAAGGGGCAGACAGAGGCTTGCCTCTCACCTCTGGTTG